TCAGTGACAAGAACGGGACCACGTACGGGGAGGTAGAGGCGAAAAGGCCACTACGCCAGCGCCGGCGAACCTAGGGCGAGCCTTATGCTCGCCGGAATCGCAAAAAATTGAGGCCGCCAAAGAGGAGGCACCGAAGAGGTCGCGCGAGGGTTTATTTTCTTCCGATTTGGGGGAAAATATCGAAGAGAGAGAAAGTTTGTGTCTAACTGCTGTTGCCTAAAAAGAAAAGTTTAAAATGGCGAACACTTAACTTTGTCATCTAAATATTATTTTTAGTGACGCATTTTGTTATTTTATAGGATTTATAAAATTTCAATGACGAATATCTTTGTGGTATTTTTGTTATAAAAATCGTCATATTTCATATAATACGTCATGAAAGCGTTATTTTATAATAACAAAATATTGGTTATCACATAAAGAAATTTTAAATATGACGATAACAAAAAAGTCACAAAAAGTAGAAGTAGTGACGAAATATTTATTGTCTCCAAAAACATACAGAAGCGACGAATTCTTTTGTCAGAAAATTATCAGCTCTAGCCTCTATGATTAGGAAGAAAAATGATTGTCATCAAAAACTTGAGATATAATGACAACATAAGTTGTCATCAATAGATAAATATTTAGTGACAAAAGTTATCGCCATTTTAAAATTTTGTATGGCGACAAACACATCACAATTACATTTTGTCATAAAAAATTATTTTCAATGACAATTTAAAATTTGTCAATATTTTAAATATAATAATTGTCATTAATTTCATATATTTAATGGAAAGTTTATTGTCATGTAATATATAGTACAATGACAAATTCTATCGTCACATGAAACAATAATGTCGTAAAAATAAAAACACAGTGACAAAATCTTTCATCACTTATATGGTGGTGGTAAACACTTATAGCAGTATTAATCATATTAAGCTCATTTATCTGATAAAATTAAAATTAATATATGATGGTAACATGTTCTATATTATAAATTAAAAAAACAACGAGACTTGTTTTGATATGTTCCCTAGTTTTAGGCAAAATTTCAAAATTAATCCTCTAAGTTGGCCACTTTCCAAAATTGCACCCCGCCATTGGCCACTTTCATTTTGGGTCCTATAAATTGTAAATTTAATCAAATTTAGTCCTATTTTATCCGCCCCCGGATTAAAAATCGACGTGGCGTCTAATCAGATTTATTTTGGTCATTTCCAGTGTGATGTGTCACTCTCACCGCCACGTGGACACATACAATTGGATAAAAAAAACAAAAAAAAAAATTAAAAAGTGAAAATAATACCTAATAATTTCCATGTCATTTTTATTTAATGTTTATATTTTCATTAAAAATTTGAAAACCCAATTATTTCCAAAATAATAAAATCTGCTAATTCCAATAAAAAAAAAAACACACAAATCTAAGCTACAAGCTTGAGAAAAAAAATCACTTTCCGATCGGGGAAAAAAAAATCTTCTCCTTCTTCGCTACCCATGAGAAAAAAAATCACAAACCGCTTCACCTTCTGCAGATCCTCTCCTTCTCCGCTACCCGTGGTTTTCCGATGGGCGATACTTCTTCGCGAATCAATAGAAAAATTAAATTAAAAAAAAAAGGAAAAATATGAGTTTACGGTGTCTGTGGAAGAATCTGATGTCCACTATGATACTATCCTTGAAGTATCTTCTTCCTCTACTTTGATATATACGATTTATATATCATGGCCATTTTCTAGCCATTTGCTATATTTGACGGAAAAAGTCGCCGGTTTTGGAGATAATGGACGTCGACGGGGTGCGCGGCGGAGCAAGAAGTCCGGAGGTGTTATCGGTTTTCAGTAGGTCGCCGTGAATTGCCGGAAAATTGAAGAAGAAGATCGAATTTTGACCAAATTTTTCTAGATCTAAAAACTTTGACCAAAGCAATTGACGGTCTTACCGATTGTATTTTCGCCTAAAATTTTAAGGGGTGAACGAGGACAAGACGAGCTTCAGGTTGATGTAAAAAAAACCGATCAGAGGTGCTCAAACGGCGTCCGGCGGCCGGATTCTGGCAGATGGGTGGAGACAAAATATGATTTTGAATTCAAGGGCACATGTTTTAAAATTTAATTAATTTTAGGGACTATAGTGTAATTAAAAAAGTTTTAGTTTATAGCAATTTAAGCCTGGCATGATGTGGATTAATTGAGTTTGAAGTCAACTTTTCTAATCCCTCCACGTATGTCACAATCACGCCATGTCAAATTTAAAAACGCCACATCACATTTTTATCCCGGGGGCGGATAAAATAGGACCAAATTTGATTAAATTGACAATTTATAGGACCCAAAATGAACGTGGCCAATGGCGGGGTGCAATTTTGGAAAGTGGCCAACTTAGAGGACCAATTTTGAAATTTTGCCCCTAGTTTTGTTAGTGGTGATATTGGGAAAAATAATAAGAATATGAACGAATTGAGGCACGAATAAGTTCACAAAAAGATTTAAGAGGGGAATGACAAGGACATGCCCATGTATCTTTTGATGGTGATCTAGAGGAGGATGTTTGAGCGGTAAAGGAAGAAATGCGCTGGAAGTTTTTCTCTTTATCATGGCTGAATGAATTGTCATGAGGTGGAAAACGCATCAACATTAGAGTTTTATAGGTTAAAACAAGGAGCTCAAGGGTCAATCCAGACTAGACTATCTTCCAGAAGCAAAAAAGAATCCGATGGTCGAGTGGCGTCAGATATCCTTTTGTAATTTTAAATGGTTGTCGGCCAACATCATGGACTTTTGGCCAAAAGTGTCGGGACCTATGCGGCCGAATCATACGAGGGCGGTAGTAGTTGACATAGTATAAAGTGCTCGCTCTTATAAATCAGATCTACACCGGATCTCCCTTAGCTCTACTTAGAGGTCATAAGTCAGATTGGGTGACATATGCTCCTAGACGTCGGAGGTCGACGGACGACCTGGACTTAGGCAACTTGGGTTCTCGATTAGCGAGCTGGTACAAAATGAACATGTCTAGATTGAAAGGGCAATCTATAGAGCTGATAGAGGCGATGATTGCTAGACACCTAGCATAGGTAGTATTGTAAGGATCCTAAGAATGTGGGAGATACATAAAGAGATTTAGCTCAAGAAGGTAAGTAGATATCTAGTTCCTTTAGAAGATTAGAATTCTTGTGGGACAATGTATATATTCCTTATTGCCTGTTGACATCAACCACAATAATTTAGTAGCATAATTATGTGGATTAGAAATAACAATTTTCAGCGTTTATGAGGAGATTAATGTGTTTTTATGGCCTGCAACTAATATTGAAACATCA